ACGCTGAGTCTCGGCATCCATATGTTCACGTTTCTATTTAAAACTCAAATATGCCATGAGTATAATACCAATAGAACGTTGGTTGAACATATCAACTGAACTAACAGAAAAAGGGGACTAGTCTAGACACTCGAATCTGAACTACAATTTTCAAGTTTAATTGATATTCCGATAGCTGATAATAGGGTCACGGAGCAACTGTCGCAAGGGGCTTAACCTTCTCGACCACGTCGAAAATGATCAGCTTTAAATGAATAACTTCGAACCGAAAGTTGCCGTTTTTAGAAAGCTATGCATTGATATCGCGATCGATACGCAACTGTGTCAGATTTACTCCATTACATATTCATAGGCTCACTAGGGAAATGTGGTGCGAGTTATTTACTCGTAAGTATCTATTAGTTCAGGAACAGTTGTGTTATATCATTCTATAATATAAAAAAAAAAAAAAAAAAAAAAAGACAAGTTTAGCAGTGTTCATTTTTCCTGCATTTCTCCTGTAGCTCTTTTCATAATTATGTCGTTTTATACTCATCTGCTATCATTTGTTTGCTTTACAAACTTATCTTGGAAAAGCTGCAAAAGTACTAAATCTCGCAAAAAGCAAGAAATTTAAAAATGTTATTAAATCACAGGTACAGTATACGACTTTGGCCGCTTGTACAATTCGTATCATAAGGTATTCGGACGTTTACTCTGCAAGTTCGACATACAGATCTATATGAAGCCCTAGCGAAAAATTTAGTTACTCTCCAGTGGATAGATCTTACAGAGTCATCTAAATCTCAGACTAAAAGTGTTTACGTAAAGCAGACAAGTTATGGCAGCTAAATTTCAATTAATTTGGACACAATTCATACATAAAAAAATGTTTTATTTCAAATGCTAGACATTTGATTGACCCGTTAGCTCTTTTCAGAGTGTTTAACCAAGGAGATGTTATCGTGTATAGCATACTGGCATTTCCTCGAATCAATATATCTTAGTCCCTAGATAAATAAATTTATTTTTGGGATTCGATACCTGACAGTGGCCGGAGGGCTGGACTCGATCCGTGCTCTTTTTCTCCATATTATCAGACTTAAGCTGTGAATGAACCTGATGACTTATTCACTCAATTTCCAGATTCAACAAATGGCCAGTTTATGTTAAATGCCTCAAAAAGTAATGTCTTGGAAATAAACAAGATGTTCATACGTTTTTGGAAAGTTTCCTAGAAAAGGAAATTACTAGCGTTACGTTGCTATTCTGGCGACTGCTTCCGTTTGTTGTCATTTTTCTATCACTTGCATAGAGCTGACAATAAGCCGACTCCCTTAATGATACGCATTAGGCTAAATAGGAACACACATTTTGATAAACACTAGAGGCTGTACACACGATCAATTTTGTTAGCTGCAAAACTACGTATAGGCATATACGTGGAAAGGTAAATAGAAAAGTGAGTGAAAGTACGCATTTGAATAAATGCCTGTAGGTCTTAGAGGAAGTCGCCGGTAGGTACATTACGAGTATTTTGTTCCGTTGGGATTGTGTTAAATTTCTATTAACATTTTTTTCTATTAAACATATAGCCGATCCTCACCGTAACTGTGTGGTTTAAGGAAACTCTCTTCTTTAGTCTACCACATATATTATGGATTAGTAATTTGCAGTGTTTTTGCCATACGAACGATGTTTAAGAGGTCCGTATAAAGCATACGCTTACAACATTTCTTTAAAAGACCTAAATATAAAGAACATGTTTTTAGTGAACGTGTGGGACGTGTTCTACCTTCTCATACAGAACGGCTTGTTACCGATATATACGTATATATATATCTATGTAGATAGTTTTGAAAATAGGAAAAAGAATAGAATTTTCACCGTCTTGAGTTCTACTGAACGAAACGTTTCTAGTGAGAAGCCCTGTAGTGGCCGTACCTCGGGCACTTTTTCATACATGTCATGGAAAACACTGCCGCAGGTCATTGTCACTAGCTATCGGCATTAATCTAGAAGAACGCAACATAAGTGTAAACACACCAGAAATGCATACTGAAGCATACATTCATTTAGTTAGTTACCTTTCAATTAGAATGAATCGAAAAGCGCTAGTTGAAATGCATGAAGTTGCTTAAAGCAGCAGATGCTATGGTGTTCAAAAGAAACAAGACGTCGTGCCCGTGTATGCCTTATTCAGCAGGTTCACTACGCTTTGACCCGTAATCAAGCACGACATAATTAAGCTACAAGTAGGCAACTAGTGAACATACATCAATTTTGTACAACACCGGGAGCTATACGACTTTCTCATCCTCTTCGGAAAATATTAGAATTTTGTAATAATATTTCTATCGGAAATAGAACGGCTCAATGTATACGTCCTTCGCGTAGAATATAGAATAATCACATCGTGCCTTTATGGCACAAGGCAGAGTAACAAGCCAGCGATAGAATCTTAATTTCGGTAAAAAACTCTTTCGGCGACAAGCAAGATTGTGGATGGAACCGCACTAGTGTTTTTTAACCGTTAGGTAGATCTGTACGGCCTACGAGAAACATTATTTGAATTTTTTGAGGTTTTTCACTAGTATGGTTCTTTTGTATGACTAGATCAACGTATGTGCTATTATTATTTATTATATTCTGCTATTTAAATACTGACCTAATGCTCAGGCGTAGAAGTTTGGAGTGCACGAGTCTAGTAATTCTCGAATTTGAACGTCTTTCTTATTAAGAAGCTCTGGAAATTTTGAAAAAATACTGTTTGTAGGAACCGTTTCCGATAAAAATAGTAGGTTACAAAGAGTTTTCAACTGTAAGGCCTGTATTTTTACCATCGTGATTTTTGAGGTTCGAAATAGAGCGTTGTCATGCAATGAGAGGATTCTACTGATTTTGGCTGCTTAATGTTAAGTTCATTCATCACTTCCGCCTACTGTTAATCACTACACATCAGCTGCAATGAGGACCCATAAAATTGCAGTCGCTGACGTCTCTATTAGACCACCAAACAGACACCGTATTCTTTTGTAATTGCACATTTGGTTTAAGCCGATGCCCTGCTGCTTCCGTCGTATCCATGCTTCTTGTATTGTTGTCATCCGAACGATCTGATATCATAACTGTGGAGTAAAAACAAACAAACATTTTCGTTCTTTATTTTCGCTAGAAGCATATGATACGTATTTGTTTGTCCTTTTAATTTGACCAAGGTAAATAAATATAACAGTTTTATATACACTAAACGTGAATGCTAACACGCGGGTATGCTTAAGATGGGTTCGCTTCCTGCACAGCTTTCAACCCTTTGCTATTAACCTTCGCAGGGTGGTCTACAAGTCTCATGTTCGAATACAAAATTCTTGACTTTGTTTGAGCCGAATGCTCGCGGTGTTTTGAATCGTACACCCTTAATCGTATACTTAACAAAGTACAAAACGGTTCATTGGAGCTTTTCTGCTGAAAATGAGACGATATATATATATATAGACGTATATTCTGGGGGTTGATCTGGCTGGGAAACTTCAGGTCGTGTGCCTGAGTTTAATAGGAGTAACTTTCTTTATTGACACCGATTGTGTCGTGTAAGTTATGTTTGATTTATTTACCTGTCCATCCCCGTAATGATGTGGTGATAATGCGTTTAACTATGCGCAGAAACGCGCGGTGGTCTAAGCTAGAGAGCGGGTATTGACACACTTCGTTTCATTAACTGTCTAGAGCAATGTTTAACGCCAGTACAGGACGTAAAGCTCGAAACGTCTTTTAATAAATTTCTACAAAAGCGGAGCGTGATCTTGATGACAATGTTACTAGCTGTAGTCATTATGCTGTTAAACGATTGCTTGATGAACGACGACCAATATAGACTTTGTAGTAAAAACTCGATGCTATTTTTGTCAGGTAAACTGTGCAAGAGAATTCCCAAAAAACTAACTCACCTCGACCTTCGTAAGCTGATCTATTAATCCACTACTGTATATCACTCATCCAGTGGGGACCATTATAATCACCATGGTCACCATAAATAGTTATATCGATTTCCTCAATATACTACGTACCCTTTATTATTATTATTGTCAAAAGGGGTATTCAAAACGTCTCAAGAATAAAAGAGAACCTTTGAAAGCCCGCCGTAAACAATCTATTTTATTAAGGAGAAATAATGCTGTGGGTTCTAATCTATATAACATTTAAGATATGAGCCATGCTTGATTGACCTTTCTTTAAGGGTTAAGGACTAATGCGCTTTAGAGACCAGATTTCAACGTTTAATTTCTTCTCATTGAGCTTTGGTGTGAAATATTAATTCAGAATGTATGTGAGAGCGGCCTGGTTCATTTATACCAGCCCTGTTTTAAAGTGTTTTGGAAAAAAAACGGTTCTGGCATTTTACAAGCTCAGCTAAGTTTCCACTTTAACTTAGCATATTGTATGAAAAGGGTATTTCAAGCAGTTTGCAATACAATAAGCTAAATATATTTTTGGCACCACCAGACGCCAACAGAACCCATGCACTTTGTAATACTGATACAAAGCTGAGCATGATGTTGCAGTGCTTGGCTTTGCTATTACGATTCCTATGCTTTATAATCGGTAATGCAACCAGCAAGTATAACATATGTTGAAGAATTCTCAAAATTATATAGAATAGAATCAACCTTACAACAGTTAGCCGTCTCTCTGTATAAATAACCCTAAAGTATTCTAGGCGCTCGCTTCGATAAAAGCTAAGTACAAATGGAGTCATAAATTAGCAAATCTGCTTTAAATACACATTAATCTGTACAATCCAATCTCAGAATGACAGCCAATGCCATCCCTCACAATTGACACTAAAACTAACATATTTGTCGCTATACTTCCCATACGGATGCACAAAGCATTCTGTCCGTTGCCCATAAAGATTCCAAACTTAACATGGTGCACCACCGCCCGCATTTAAAGACCTCCTCGTGGCTAGCTGTTTGGATTCAACAAGATCCCATAAAGAGCCAAAGGCACTCATACTCCATGCAGCCTCTTGACGACAACCGTCCGCTTTGTCTATCATCTTATTTCTCCTGTGTATTACTGTTGTGTCGGTTAAGTATTCGTTCAGGCCTTGTGTGTACGTCAATTGTGGCTTAGCGAAATTTTGCTAGCTCTTTGTGCCTAAAGTGAGTTTTTCTGCGTGAGGCTTCATATCGTGCAATAACATCGAATAAACTATATATGTATATATTCAGAACGGCGTCACGAATGTGCCTCTTACCAAATAACGTTAAGATGATTCATAAAAACAGTTATACTGTATGGCGTTATTGAGTTAAAATGGACTATGGTAGCTAGTGAATTGACGACACAGTTCATGCGCTAACAAGTATAACAGTTTTCAAAGTGTGATTTATTTATTAGTTAGGCGTTAATTAGATCCATACGGTGAGTGTGTTGGTGGCGGTCTCCTCTTCGAAGTCGTTTAAGAGAAACAACACTTTTTCTAGAAAATAAAGCCCTGGCAGTCTTTGCTTTTTTCTAAAGGTAACTATTCTGTAGCACTTTAGTGCCTTCGGTATCCTAAGGATTTCTGTGGACATTATGTACCCATGATAATTGGAATGTCCAAGTCAGTCCTTAAAATAATGATAGAGCTAAGTAAATAAAGCCATTGAACTTTTTTTTTTTTTTTTTTGAACCCAGTGAAACCATGAAACGCCCATATTTATTTTATTGCTTGAAGTCGCAAGAAGGTGACAGGTACCATTTATGGCATAATATATGATATTGGGTGGCAATTACTGGTTAGGTTGCGAAGCCTGACGTTCTTTTTTTTAATAGAATAATGAACTAAGTAATAGTTCATTATTCTATAAATAATTTTATAGATAACTTTAGATAGAAACTTTATCGATGATTTTTTCATCATTATGAACTATTTTTAATAAACATGTGTTTGTATTGAGTAACATGTGTTGATTTCTAGTAATGTCTGGCTCCAATATCAATTTCGTGCTTAAATGCCAAATAGTATAATATCAATTCACCAGTGATATTATTACCAACAAAAATGCTCTCTGAAGTAAACGACTGTGTAAAGATGTTTTAACGGCAATTTATATAAGAAAATTCTGATAATATGTTATTAGACACTACAACACAAGACAGCAACCGAATCCGGTTTTACATATACATATACACAAATGGTGCCTACAAACGTAAGAGTGATCATATTCTGCTCAGCAGTCGTGGTATTGATGCGTGGTCCAGAGACTACATTAAGCCGATGCTGTGCTTTACATGAGAGAGACGCTTATAATTATTCTGTAGCATTGTCTGAGATTTCGCCAGACACAGGCATGGTTCAGTCATAAAAAAAAAGTCACGAAACTGTCCGTTAGTCATTTATTCAGCGAAACTGGGTAATGATTATGTAGACACTTTAACGACGCCTGCTACCCAGGAAAACTGTGAAATTCACTTACTAACAGCCTTTGAAGCTGACTATCGTGCTTTTTCAGGGCATATCGTTGACAGTAAATAGGACTACTTAGATTATGTGTAAAAATGTCTTGCGTTACTGTTGTTCGCCTATGCCACGATTCAGTTCTAAAAAACTGAGGAATTTCGTTCGACTACAAATTTTCAAGTAACAACAGATTAGCAACTGGCCAAAAACGAGATTAAGTATTTCGAGCATGGGAGTCTCGAACCGCCAAACCTTAAGTCTTATCTGTATAATGCATTCGTCCTTAGATCCCTTCAAAAACTGTCTAGGACATTACACGAACATAATATCTATTGAATTTGAGAGCAACGTAAGTATTTAATTCAAGTGTACTGGTTTATGGAAAGAATGAGCAAGCGAATTTTCTCCTCTTTACCACCATATATTGTAGTACACAAATACGCGTTCTCCTCTCTAACGGTGGCAAACGCTAGCACTACACAAGCTGCGTCCTCTTAATTGCAGAGTTAGAACTTCGCTATAAACAATCACAAGAACTAAGGTTAACGGGCCGAACGTTGTAGACCAGCCAGTTCGAGAGCTCCGATATCAAATGTGATTAAACACTGGGATTGAAGTGAGTTTCCGTGTCGAGATCAATAGCAGTCCAAAAAACTAAGTTTCTGTAAGCGACAAGTGGAGCTTAAAGAGAATACAAATCTACGAATATTCGCCACAAATATTAGATAACAATCAATGGATTCATTGATTCCAATATAAATGTAGACGAAATCTCCTTTATTGTTTAATTCAATATTTTAATATTGGATATGAGTAAACCCTCATCGGATGATTCTTCTGCGAACCCAATGATAATCATCGGTGCGTCAATCCTTTTCTAAAGCTCACCGACTTTGAACTGTTTCTGGAATTGTGAACTGGAGTATAATATCGCGTTTCGTCTATCGCATAGAAAGCCAAACTGCTCTGAAGTCCCTGGCAGTTTAGGATTGCGTTTAAAAGCCGAACTTAGCACAAAGGTCGCCTACTGATGTACTGAAACAGACTGCCGCTTTGGGTGAATTAAATGTACCAAAATTTAGAATGTTATCGGGGTACCAAGACAAGAAAGCTTTCGATGACCTTCAACCTAGTGTACTTTATTTCAAATGAATTCAATTACTTTTAATTTTCTAAGAAATCGGGCTACAGGTACAAGATTATAAAAAAAAAAATATATATATATTTTTTGAACTGGTTTTTACTTAGTGGACGTCTCCAACGAAGACTTTGAAGCTAACAGGGTTAAAAGCGCCTTTTGACGCCTACACACAGGCATCCTTCTCTTCTGTTTATTCCTAATTTTAATAACAAATATGGATTTCATAGTGAGGACCAATCCCAAAGTAACTCCTATTGTGCCCAGAATAATTTATAGATGTAAAATGTTTCGATGATAAACGTGAACGAATAATATTAAATCCTCCATTTACAGCAGCATTACTCTATTACTGCTACCAACCAAGTCTTATGTGAGCCCAGAATCACAACCGAGCAACTGGTATGTTATACATTGCTGCACATTTTCAGTTGTTATGCTCAAAACCATACAGTATGCGTGAATCAGGAATGTTTATTTCCTTTAAATAGGCGACACAAGACGTAAAAACAGATGCATTGCGATAGTGGTAGACCCCGCACCGAAAATCACTATATACTCGTACCAGATGTTTCTGATCTGTAATGAAAATGCGGTTGCCTCCTTGTTCTGGTATCGGACTACAGAAACTACATATTACCCCAATCGCCGACGAGACGATTGCAGGCTTATTGTAGGTTACCACAACTTAAATATCCTATAATACCTAGTAAACGATGATAACCTCACTAGTTTACTTAATTACACCGCTCGTACCAGTTTATTAACTACACTGTCTTTCCGCGGTTACAGTTAGCGCATCTCTGGTGCTTCATATGCCATCATATTGCCTTTGTTTCAAATAAGTGCGGTTTATTTTCCGAATGGCTCGTGTCAAGCTAACTGCCATCTGAGCCTAGCGCATCGTAGACTGACGACCCGCTTATCTAGTAATCTACTAGCTGCATTTCATTTTTGTGTGTGTGCGTGTGTGTTTCATTGTTGAGTTACATCTAACGACGTCATGTTCTGCGGGTTCCTACGCCAAACACGGGTAGCATTATACTTGTACGCCAATGCCGCCATCATTCCAGCCAGCTAGCTTAAACAGCGATCGCGTCGTATGAATCAACGCCCTTAGGCGACTCTGAAATGCCCAGAGCACGGCTCATACAACAGATTTGATAGTGTTGCCCGCGGGCGGATGATGTAGTAAAAGTCGTGACAGAAATGATCGTACCCTTTAGTGGACGTGGCCAGCTGCCACTGGTAAAATGGGACAGTGGTCGCACTTTTAGCTCAGTTCAGTGTGATGTCAAGCATCTTAAATGATCAGCGTTTTTGCTTCATTACCTTTGTCTTATTTAATTCTGCAATTAGTTGATACCATTCGTTAAAGGGGAGAAACCCGTGTTACGTGCGTTAAGATTAAATTTAGTGTGTCTATGTGTCGGCGTGTCTTCGACGCTTGAATTTGTCGAAATATTAGATATTAGGTCTCCGTCTCCTAGGTTCCAATGAAGAATGTATGCCTAATCCATTCAGCTAAATTATTAAAAAGATAACATCCACTCACAGAGAATCTAACGACTATCTTATGTTAAATATTTTGCATTAGTATATAATTTTTTCTATTATGAAATTTTAGCGAATTTGTCAAAATGGCCTCGCGCAAGGCAAAGGGACGTGCCCCGACGAAGAAGAGGGCCCAGCGAGCGACTTCCAATGTCTTTGCTATGTTCGACCAGGCCCAGATCTCGGTATGAAAATATATTATTGTTAAATTTTTAACCTTTGCATTGTTTTTTTTAATATTACTAAAATCTTAGTAATTATTCAAATTCCATTTTCGGTTTAGTAGTCGTATATACAGTTCTACAAGACAATGTCAGAGTAAATACATAAAATCATTCGAAACCATTCAAAATATTGCATAAGATGGGTTCTAGAAGCGTTGTTGATTTTAAGACTAATTCAAGACATGCGCCGGATTTCCAAATGATGGCAGTATCTATGACGATGATATCTATCACAATTTCTCTCGTATCCGGAATATTCAACATAAATCGTCAGGCACGTGGAAACCCGATTGCTTTCAGTCTGTAGTAGAAGCTATGCACGGCAAAACGAGTGTTGTTATGTCTAGCTGGTTCTTTCCTTTTAACTCGTCTTTCATCGTACCCGAAGTGACGAAATCCCTATCCGCAAATGTTTATTCTAACCTCTTTAGTTTGATTTTGAGCGCTTGTATCGTTGGGAGCACAAAACGATGATATAGGAACTCGGACAGCAGTGGCGTGTTGGCCAGGAAGTATGCGAGGCGAATTCGGATAACTATGTGTAATCCTATTGCTTTTTGGGGGAAGGAGGCTTTGACGTGATCTAATTGTTCAACTTTTTGCACTGTAAGATCTCTCATATTCCATAAGTTCTGATTGGACCGACCTAAAAGTTGAATAAGCTAAAAGTAGTTGGAAGGGGTAAGTAATGGGTGATTTGATCGCTCATGCGGCCAACGTAGCCTTGCATTTTTCGGTGACGTGTGCAATGAAAAATGCAAAAATCTTCTGCTTGCAGAGAAGAGCAGCTGTGTGTACCTCAACAGGTTAACATAGGCAAAAGGCAACGCGGCGAGATATAAAACGTTAATAACTGCTGTCCTGCCTTCCCTTCTAAATATCATTGCTTCCGCTTTGGTCAGGTTTACGGTCAGTCCTATATCTGTGAACACTGCGTCTTTCAACTTATATATCACTAAATAGTTTGCATATAAAAAGACTACGACCGACTTTCTTGGTTTTTTATTTGGTAGGGAAGGCCTTTTAGCAAGGCTGCCTTAAAGTCGACGAACATTGCGTGTAGCAAATAGCGCTACATGGGCAGGTCTCTCTTAACGTCGGCTATTAAGATCCTGCACGCCGCTTCTGTGGAGCATTTTCTTCGGAACTCATGTTGCTCCGTTGGAATGGAGTGAATGGTGTCTAGTTTTTTAGCTAGTAAGCCCGATAGCAGCTTATAACAAATGCTTTCTTTTACTACGATGGAAGCGCAGTTAAGTCACTTTTTTCTTGAATTAGTAAAAGGGCAGCATCCCTCTATTGAGCTGAACGTCACAGTACATAAGTATTTATTAAATGGTGTCATCTAGCAGAGTGCTAGAACGACGGTACATTTGAGACGCTTCTTGCGGATTCTCTCTGGGCCGATGACATCCTTGGTGCGTAATTCTCAAGACTTTCTATTAGTTCCTGTATTGTAAGCATATCGCGTTATATTGAGTTCCCATCTTCTCACGCTGCGTAGGAAAAGGCATCGCAAGTAATTTCGTATTTCTCGACGTAAATGTCCGAGAAGTGATAAGCACCGAGAAGACGATCAGATAAGTCGCCAAACTGCTGTGGTGCGTTAACCACTTGTCTGGTAATTATTGTGCGTCGGCGATGCGATGTATACGTTCTAAAACGAATAGACTCAAGAACGAGGCTAAAGGGTGGAATTCGGGCTTCGCCTCAACTGCAAGCCTGCAGCTAATTTTGCCTTGCGAAGAAGGCTACAAATTCAGTTGAAGTACGGCCTGTACCCCGGGGAAGTGGGATTTAAATCGAATGCTGCGTATTAGTAATAATAAATCCTTGCCAAGCTGTACTAAGTTTGTTTATATATTGGCTTAAATCTATTCGAACGATTGGCTCAAAGCGCACATTGCAGGGAACAGAAAAACAGTATATTTCGGTTGTTTATTGAGAGTATAGCGTCGGTAAATTTGAAACCAACTGCAATACCGGTAACAGCTAGGTACCGTACCAAGCAGTGTGTTCAGTTATGCTAGCAGCTACGAGCTATCGAAAATCGTAAAGGTATTTTAAAGCTCTTTTCTGTTTGCACTAAAAGTTAATGCATTGTTTCAACGAGGTTCAAAAATTCTTGTTTTTCTGTGGTTCTATGATTTCCCTAGGAGTTCAAAGAAGCGTTTAATATGATCGACCAAACGCGTGACGGTTTTGTTTGCAAGGAGGATCTTCACGACATGCTCGCCTCGCTCGGTTAGGGTGAAATCTTGTTTTTTTTTTTATACTTCGAGATATATTTTTATTATATATAGATTTTATGATATATTTATCTCAAAAAAAGTATAACATTTCTCGGTTTTTGCCAACTTCTAAGCTCACTCGAGCTTAGGTTTTCAAAAAGCATATATTTTCTTGAGTTACAAAGAGGTTCTGTATGCACAAACAATAGAGTATGCCCTTTTCAAGTGATTTCTCCTCGACGCGCAGGTAAAAAAGCTACCGTGATAAGTACTTTCAGGCAAGAACCCAGATGACACTTATCTGGAGTCGATGATGAACGAAGCTCCGGGACCGATCAACTTTACCATGTTCCTCACCCTCTTCGGAGAGAGGCTGCAAGGAACAGATCCAGAAGAAGTTATACGAAATGCTTTTGCCTGCTTTGATGAGGACAATACGGGGCAGATAAATGAGGAAAAACTGCGTGAACTCTTGACGACGATGGGCGATAGGTTTACCGACGAAGAAGTACGTAAAAAGGAAAACAAAAGCAAAATTAGCTGCTTTCTTAGCATAGTTATTATCGATTATAAGCCATTTCTCATTAGTTGTATAGGTAATGTAGAAACCTAGCTCATAAATGAATATTATTGTCGGTTTTAGCTCCAACATTATCATAATGCGAAATGTCTGGACCATGCTTGTCACTATGTTACGATGGCTGTTTATTACTACATAAATGTGCTTTGCTAGTAAAACAGCTTTGTTCAATTACGAACCGGTTGCTCACTTTGATATTGCACCCAAAGACTAGATTAGCAAGGTGGTTATGTCAAATATATGGGACTCATTCTCACTCAGGTTGTTGCTGAGGGTATGCAACTTGCGCAGGGCCTGTCACAGCTCACACAGTCCGCCGGGACTCAGTAAGTGAGGTCAATCATTGCTGTGCAATTTTCATTAGTGTCTTTGTTATACAATAGCACTATATACAAATACGTGTGCGAGTAATAAATATCGGCTTTATCTGCGGTATTTAAATAGAGTAAATTATTAATAACTGTGATCCGGCTACCCAGCGGCTTGAAAATGTTATTTAGCTATAGATTCCTGCAAAAACAAAATGTGCTTCGTGCCAAAACATCAAGAGTAAGGGAAATTGCGTCCAGGTTTAATACCCCGGCCGACCACTCTGATGGTGTAAATTTTTGAAAGGGAAAGATTTCGATCGAGGTGGCCTGCCTACTTTGTAGGCTGCACGGTCGAAAACTGCCCTCATTTCGTTAACCAGCTGCAGCTTAATTAAAGCTACTGAATTGCATAAGCAGTATGCACGAATTAGAGCTATGGAACGTGTTGGAAATTACACGGTACGGTAGACGGAAAATGCTGAACCATGTTTACCAATATCTAGAAACACACAGAACGAAGGAGTGTCAAACAATTTAATTGAGCAAATAGTTTTGTGTGCTTTTAAGTTTTTTGATTTCTAATAATTCTTCCTCAAATCATTAACGATTTTCGTTTAAGGTTGATGAAATGTTTCGGGAGGCGCCAATCGACAAGTTCGGTAATTTCAATTACATCGAATTCACCCGCATCTTAAAGCACGGTGCCAAAGACAAGGACGAGCAGTAACTAACCGTGTTCAAATCGCTCATCAAGAGTTGGGTACACCACCATGAGTGGGCTGTAAGATCGCCAACAGCACAAACTTCAGCTCACTTGTCGTCCGGCGCCAAACTTCGTGGTTACTTGATGTCGAAGCGGGGTCGCAAATAGTCGCCTTCGACGTACTTATTAAAACAGGTCGTCACAGCATTTAAAACAGCGACATAGCTTAAATCAGTAATAAATAAATAAAACTTAAAATAGGGCTGCTTATAAGTTCAGAAAGAATAATTATATTTACGAAGGCATCATTAAGTCAGATTTTTGTCAAGTCTAATCGTTTACCGACAAACGCACTCCAAATGTATTCTGATCGTCTATCCGATTGCCGCAAACAGCGAAATGAGTAATAGAGACCATCCTATAATATGCATTACGTAAATAATAATCATGACCAGTAGAAAACCATATTTCAATGAAAAACTGTAGAAGAATGTGTCACCATGTTTTGTCATCATTTCAACCGGTGTGCTGTAATCATACCTTCGTTGAAGTGACTGGGTGCTTCCATGCACTGATAGTTAAAACAGCATCGTCCCGTTAGTGGAAAATTCATCTTATACTTCAGAGAACGAGACGAAGAAAGTTACGGAACGGTTGCGTTTACTACTACTATTTTGCTAGCTATGTAACAATAGTCCATAGAACAGGTTTTATAATTAACCTGGATCTTTCACATAATAAACTGCTTCGGTGGAGAATGAATCAATTATACAGAAAAATGAATATGTGTTCGCATATAATATACACGCTTTGGTGAAAAGTGTATCTATAGAAAAATGAATGTATGTTTTCTATTTATAATAAATCAGAAGTTGAAAAACAAACGTTTATGTTAACATGCACATTTTTTTTTATCTTGAAGGATGTTGGGTTTTTCGTGAAAGCTTACGAATAAAAAAAAAAAAGGAAAACCACATTAGCGAACCTTGCCGACAGCTAGATATTCCAATCAACCTCATGATATGACCAACCGATGAACAAACCCTGCTCGATTCCAGTTGTTTACGCGAAATTATTCTTTTTTTTCACGATTAAGGATGACATTTTACGAAATTTCATTGCGGGCGCACAACAATGAATCACATGTTTAGTTGTTTTTATATTTGTAGCTATTATTTGTAGTACACTATAGTTCCTCTTAGTGTCTATTTATAGAAAAATGTTTATTAAGAATATGATGATCGTCATAGGAAAATCATTTATTCACGCATGTTTGCTTACATAATAAGAACATCACTAGGTGAATACATGAACATGCTCAGTCGCACGTCTTCTATCGTAATAAGAGCTTTATTAGGGTAGAAGAAATATACAGCATATTCCTGGACCCATCTAGAATAGATGCCCATTTCGATATCATGATAGAACAACATCAATTTACAAATGAAAAATGGGAGTGAAGGAAATATTATTTATTTACACAAAAGCCAACGGGACTCTACTATATCTGATAGAGTTAGTATTTACAAAGGTGTCAGTTTTATTTTACTTATTTTGTTATTTGTGCCTAAACACGAGAGCATACATTCTCACTTAGTTCATGGTTATATATACAGCTGCGTGGCGTCTAGGTTTCTTTCAGAATATGTACATGCGCGCGCTGTGTCTCTGTCTGTTTTACTGTGGATTTTCGAAAAACTAGCGTTATTGACTTTAAACATAGTTGACATGAGTACATTCATTTGGTGATGTGTGTTATCTGTAGTATGGCACGTCATTATTCAGCATTCGTGTAGTGTTTATTTAACGGAAAAAAGTAAACAAGGAGCAGAGTCACGTCTCATTGGCTTTTTTTTTTTTTTTTTTTTTTGGTTTGTTTCGTAATTGAGTCGTTCAGTGTGAATGTCTCTTTCGAAATAGGTACGAAAAAATTTATATATATATAGACCATGATTTATCTTGCCACTGCTGCTGCTGCTACCGAAATGTGGAGCAGTCGTTTCACATGTCTAATTAAAAAAAAAAAAAAATAAATAAATAAATAAAAGTGAGTTGACATGCAAAAATTAAAACTTCACCCTGTCAAAAGATGCCAGAAAAGAAAAAAAACCTGCCTGTATAGAACGGAAAACCAATAAATGACACCATAATGCGCGACAATACATATTACTTCAATAGGGCTTAAGGAGTACACCAACCCGCGTGCATGTCTCGCTTGGCAGAGATACGTAACAACTGAGCGGGTATTACTTCGGCAGACGTAGCCTTATGTGATAGGTATCGCATTTCATATCCGTACCACCCGTACAACTGACGATCTTATTGTTGGGAAGTGGCAGGTTCGTTCGGTGTTGACGTCCAACTCCCATTGGTAGGCTGAGAGAACGACTTCTCTTCGAGTTGAGCTATCTGCTGCTGCAGAAAAAGTGCACGCTGTTCCTGAAGTGTTGCCTGAATCTCGGCGAGCCGCACCATCGACCGCGCCATTTTGAGGTCTGCCGAAATCGCCGAACAGTGCACACTAGCCAGGGTGAACAACTCGCTCTGTAGACGCGTTGCCTGGCGTTCCAACTGCTCGGCCTGCCAGGCTGTCATGTGCGTAATTAGCACCTATGTGTAATAGCATATGCAAACAAATGCAGGTTTTATTAAGGAAATTGCAAGAGACGCTTGACCGAATAGTTTGCTAAACACACAATATATCTGAGTAGGTTTTAGTGAAGTAACTAAACTGCTCAATATATTTTAGTTCCACCTATTATGCCCTAATGCTTCTTAACGTTTTATATAAGTCTTACTTAAATACAAATGCAACCGTACTTTTGCATCTCGCATGACATCAAGTAGACCTGGTTGGTTTCAATACCAAACGATTCTGTAGGAGATCCTGTACCTAATTCAACTGTAGTTATTATTTTCCATACTTGCTTAGGACAGTAATATTCTATTAATAAACCATCGTGACCGCAGCTGTGCAGGATCAACATATCGCGCATAGGTCATTCGTGTTCGAATTCGCTCATTTAAAGCTGGGAGACACTTAAAAAAAAGTTAAATAAAAACAGGGCAAATGAACTTTATTTTGTCAATTGCAAGAAAAGAACAGTAGTAGTTACATTCTTGATGATATGTTTCAGTAATCAAATAGACGAAATTTAATTTTATCAGATTAATAAACAACAAGTAAATATGTACTCACTTCCTTGTAATATTTTGCAAGCGAAGGCGACAGGGTTACCGGTTTCACTGGCGGTGGCAGTAGCGTCGTTGAAAGAGTGGCTTTATCACCTCTCGGAGGTGTTTGTTCACCTTGAGACGACGTAGGACTTGGACTATGCTCAGAAAGAGGCGAGGACGCATCCTGCATGACCTGATCGCGTGAGGGAATCATACCAGGAAGGAACTGCGGTTTTTGGCTTAGGCCATTATTGTCGTCCTGTGCAACGATCGTAGTAACCTCCTCAGCTTCACGCGTTTCAGGAGTCTGGCCGCCATCATCTTCATCGTTCGACGATATTGACGAATCCTCGGACACGGGTGATGCATACTGCACCTGGAGTTTCGTCTGTAGCTGCAGTAGCGACTGTTGTTGCTGCTGCTGTTGCGTGGGCGTCGTCGACAATTTGTCGCTAACCTGTTCGACCTGTTGTACAGCGACAATCTGTTGTAGTGGTGATGGCTGAGCTTGTTCCTGCCTTCGTTCCCATTCAAGCCATTCACTAGGCTTCTCCCACTGTGAGACTTCACTCTTGGCGTTGTAATAGTACTTCTTCCCAGTTGAAGAAGTATGCTCACTCCAGTCACCGAATCGCGAAGGGCTTTCGACCTCTCTTGGAGGTGGTGATCGTGTCACACTTCGTTTTGAAGATGCGTAGTCAGCTCCGTCAAGACCAGCAACGCGACGTTCTCTGGATCGAGAACGAGCAGTTTTTTCGTAGCGTTTAACGTTGACGGTTGTAGGTGTACCGGATGCGACGGTATCGCGGTCATGGTCAACGCCAGTTCCAGAGCCAACACCTCGACTTGGCTCGGAAGTTCGTTCACCTCCACCGCCTCCGCCCCCGCCCCTGTAATGTTTACTGCTTGAGCTACTGCTGATATTGTGGTTTGTTGCACTACTGCTACTAACGTAACTGCTGTCCCCTCTTCGGCTACTACTGCTCGTACCAGAATCTCGATAATCGCCTCGTCGACTGCTGGATCCACCTCCGCCGCTTCGGTAGGGGGATGACCGATCCCGTGTGTGCTCCCCTCTGCCACCGTACTTACTGCTACTGCTATAGCCTCCACGATCTCTTGAACGACTTCGTCGGTCTCTGTCCCGGTCACGTTCTCGGTCCCGATCGCGACTTCGGTCCCGCCCGCGTTCACTGTCACGATAACCCCCACCTCCGCTACTCCGATCGTAGTCGTAATCCCCCCGCCTGCTGCTGCTACGGTGCATCCCAGGCCCGCTCCAACGGGGTTTCAGTTGGCGGCCTGCCGGTAAAATACCAGGCCCGTTCGACGATGCGTAGAAGTAACCAACGACCTGTTACGGTTACTGATATTCGTGCAGGTAGTAATGGTGTTGGTAAAAGTTCGGTGGCAACAATCGTCGTAGACGGTCAGATTACGAAAGCACGAACAGCACAACATGGATTAACGGCAGGATCCACCGAACAGGCAGGGAATAACGGAACGGAGACAGGCAGACAGGCAATCTGCACGCAGTTGCAAGATTCTACTTCATATATTGCATGAACATTTATGTGCATATTAGGAGCAATGAGAAAATGCACAGGAAGTACACCACTGCAAAGTTGGGAAGGCAGCGATAAGCTTTGATATTAAAAGGACTCTTTCACAGCTTTTCGCAGCTCGCCTGTTCTGGGTTCGTACAGCGACGAACAGATGCCATATAAATATTATCAGATAGACAGGGCGCACACAACAGATCTACCATCCAAAAAAATCGCATTTTACTTAGCAGCCTGGGAGGGAATCAGTCTAAGAACGCTAGAGATCAACGTCTACGGATCGCAGTGTCTGGGGCCTAAAGAGCAACCAAACAAACAGCCAACGAATGAATGCACTTTGAAACGAGTGGCGGGCAAAAATAAAAAGCAGTGGTATTTTAACTTTCCTATATTGTTTGAGACAGGTGGAGTAGCTTTGTATTATTTGAGGTGGTATGGAAGAGCTGATCTCAGGGCTGTTAACTGTACTGTATAAGACACGCTAGTTAGTGGACTTTTTTCTTTTTTACAATTTCATTGATGTCAACAGTTTTGTGAAATATGGGAATAAGCGTCTTATTTTGTCAAAACACGATTCCTTTTTAGTTTACCCAGGTGTACGTATCTTGATGTCTATCAAGCTCGTAATTTTGTATATATATATATATATATATACACATGCATACATTATTAGTAGTATGCTTTAAAGGCGGAGGAATGCTTTTTTACTATAATTCTGGCATCTTAGTTTCATAACCTTGAAAGGAAAGTCAAGGGAAAATAGCATTATTACCGAAACAGTAAATTTGACGAAGTTTTCCTCAAAGAACTAGCTTATATTGAACGCTGATACATTCACCGCTGAACTGAAATTTAGGCAAATATAAATCATTCTAAACTCTAACAGGTCTCCAATTGAATCAATTCCATATTCGTGCAAGTTGCATGCTTCAATGCCAATTTTTGGCGGAATTGTTGTATTATGTGGTATTGAAGATGCATATGATAATCATGCTTAAAAATGCAGAAAAAGAAATATTACGAAGAAAAAGTATAGTAGTAGTGTACTTTATTAATCAATTCGCAAATTAACAGTACGTATCAATTACAAGTCGGAACGGGTTAAAAAAAAAGTGCACACAACAAATGATTTACCCGTTTATTCTGTTTTAGCTAGTCGTACGAACATTTTGAAATATATGTACACACACACATATACGTACGGTTTGTTAGTGGTGGCATACTACGCTTGACCGACGTAAAAAAAACATTACATTCTCTATTCGCTGTAATTTCGAAATGGTCCTTTTTATATCGTGGCGACTTGGCAATATGTCTTCACTAGGCGCGCCGTTCCCTATGCTTAGAGTAAATTTAATAATATAAATACATAGACAGACACGCACACGCACGCACACACACACACACAGACACAGACACACAGACACAGACACGCAGACACACACCAGACACAGACACACGCAGACACACACCAGACACAGACACACGCAGACACACACACAGACACAGACACAGACACACACATAGACACACACACACATACACAGACACGCAGACACAGACACACACAGACACACACACATATATATGTATGTATATACACATAGATACATATATACACACGAATGTACACATAAATTATCACACTCACACTAAGCATAGGGAACAATGCGTTTGGTGGAGGCATATTACCAGTCGACCATTTCGTAGTTCCTGTGAGTAGAGAATGTAATGGGTTAAAATTTTTTTTTTTTTTTCTTTAACTTGGTCAAGCGTGTAGTGTACCGTCACGAACAAACCGTACGACGGTGCGGACAGACGAGCAACAAAATGTATTTAACGATCGAGGGCTAGAATTGGCGAAAACATAGGTAATTGTTACCTGGTGCTGTAATAAATAAATACTCTTCTTTAGCATTAATTTATGAAATGGGACCATATTGCAATGAAACTAAGCTAAACTCAAGAAGAGCTAAGTGGTGATTCTTTTAAAACCTACATAAAAAGCTCGCTGAAAGATTTTCTATGGCTTTGTTTCTAATGTGTTACATATTAATCGTAGTTTTGAAAAATTGCGCTGTCTTATCCTGTTTTCCCAGTGAGTCAACACTTATATAAGACGAGAGCACGATTTTTTTAGACGTTTAACCATTATGAGGACAAACTCACGCGAAACTTCCGCAGCAGATGACGCTTGCGTCCCTGAAAAGCACAATTATGTTTAAAATCGCGTGCTTTGCAGAGCAACTTTCTGTACTGCAAAAGGCAGTCTACTTCAGTTTGTATCATATCTTCCCGATTCTATATGAACTCCTGAAGGATTAATTGAATCTCTATTAATGCGACTTCGAGAAACTTCACTTGATCGGTTTTAGTTCATCAGTGAATTCAACTACGTTAATCAAAAACAACCAGTGTGCTATGATATTTTCAGTGGGATTCTAGGCTCTTCTGGCTTAACCAAGGTGCTACCAGCCTAAGACTCGTGAGAAAAGCATTCTGCCTAGGATCTAAGAAAATTCGATACTCTTGTTTACCTTAAATTAGACCTGAAAGGGCGGTACGTGTACACATTGTTGCCGCGCTTTGTTAAGCAACAATCGACGTTGCTCACTATGAGCTTGCGCTCTCAGAAAAGAACCCGAGTGCCCCTCACTGGCGTTGTGTGTGTGCCATATTTCACAACTGAAACAATGTTTGTTGTATTGCGTAACTCGGGCTCAAACAAAAAGTTAACCACTAACAGCATCAAAAATCCTTCCTGATTCAAATTTATTTAACTTCTCAATGATTGCCTTTTAGTGAGTTATAAACTGAAGTTTGGAAGACAGCTTTGTGTTAATTGACGTAACCGCCTAAAGGTGTTGATGCGATACATTTTCCCTTTTATTATGTAATAATAATAATAATAATAAATGTAAATAGTCAGAAAGTGTTGTGCCCGAACATTGTATTCGTTGTGTCGTGTAAAATTTTTTTAACATTGTAAGTAGAATCGTCGGATTGGAGCCGTGGTAAGTTAAACGCAAACATGATTTCCTCTCCACTAATCGATTCAATTTCCATTTAATATCAGCCCACAGTTCGCTACTTTTTACACAGACGAGCATGTTTTTTTTATGATGCTTTGCGACTGGTGTATAGCGGCATTATGAAGTTAACGTCTTTAAAAAAATGCTGCTATCCTCAATTTATTAGACATGCAGTAATTGTTGTGCGTCGACTTTGCTAGAGCTGGTTGTTGAAAGGTCGGCAAATTTGATTTTTAATTGGTATATTATTTGAGTGATATTGATATGTGACAGTGAGGCAAATATAAACGTTTTTCGATACCTGCATTAGACACAAACACACAAAAAAAAAATGTAGAATTCCTGTAAAGCATGAAATGATGGCACCTACTGATGTGTTTCTCTTACAAAGTGCAACTTAGCTGAAAAATAAAGTGAAATAGACTCACCATTGTCTAGGGCGTACCGGGATACCAGTGAAACAGGGTGGGAACTTAATACGCTCTTCGATCCCTCTGGAAAACAATCTTCTCCCAAAGACATTGAAGTTTATTTGATCTCCTTCGTTTTGAGCTGTATCGAAGAAAGTGTACAGTATTGTATAGCATAATAAAGTTTCAAAGAATACATGTTTATTTTGTGTACTGCTGATCTACTTCATTATGTTACGCATGTGCTATATCTAGCACGAAGATCGAAAAAAGGATAGGAGAAAGGACCGGTGATCCTTATATTGACTTCTGTGTATACCATGGAACGCATTTTGTTTGGAAAGATGGACTCTGCTCTTGGTAAGTGCGACTCAACTGAGGTTCGCACTATCCGCATCGAGTGATTTGGTGGAATAATGAGACATTAGGGGTATTACGTGTTCGAAGCCCGATAATAAAAATAATACTCTTGCACGCTATGTTATTCAGGACTTTCGTTAGCGTTCTCTGTTGATGCATCGGTACGCTTCCATGATATATATATATATATATATATATAACTATTTCAACATCATCACAGATCTGGCGTTGCTACAGCACGCGGTTGCAGAATGATAGCACAGATGTTGATTTGAAACATTGATAATATATATAAGAACGGCTACTTCTGTCCAACCTCGAATATTTTATCGAAGCCTTTAAATACCTTAGCATGAAAGAGAGAAAATTTCAAGTCACGTTTCGTATGGGAGCAGGGATGAATCAACGATCTTTTTTACACCAAAAGTCTCGCTCACTGGAGACACTGCCATAATGGGGCGCAGTGGCCACTCTGGCTGGACTATTTTGTTTCGTCAAACCATTCCAATCGAACAGTTAAGATAAAAGTCTAAAAGGTTTCATGCTGCAGCGCCGCTCCTTGCCACCATTGCTGAGCTTGTGGATTGCTGTTTCGTGTAATGGCGTGTATTGTCAGAAATCGTTCGCGTACCATGAGACAGATCCGCCCCTGCAGCCTAGCACAGTGATACTAGATGGGCGTATCGTAACTACGATTCTGTGATCCGAGTTCATACGAAGAGTAGCTCAAGTGCAAAATACTCAATGAATCTTTGCATGGTAGACGTATTATTTTTAGTTAACAATTAGCTAGATGGCAAGAGAATCATAAATATGGGATTACCCTATTCACGAACGACGTTATATAGGATAAATATGTAAAACATAGGAAGATAGCCAATACCACAATGATTCAAACGCATCCACAAGAAAAGACAACGAACATGCCGGTCAACTCATCAAACGCAACTAACGCGCCGTAGCGCAATAGAAAATGATGATTCACAGTCATCATTTTGCGACTCGTGTGACGCCGTTCATATTTGTATACAACGTAAATGATTTCGGACTCACTCGGCGCTTGCGAGCAAATGAACTCATGAAGTCGGCAGTGGATTGACGAGGCTAGTTACAGTTGGGTTATGAAAATAGCCATGAGGATTGCTTCTTACAAATGCGGCCTTTACCTGTCCCATACTTCTTGTTCATATATGATTTGTACTCACTATCGGTATTTAATGGTGATTTAGGTTTACTTTGTTCGAGTGTATTGAACTGGACGGCCAGTTATCTAGGACAGATGCAGCAGCAGTAGTCGTTTGATGATGTAGAACTAGAAATACCAAAACGCAGATTAACCGTAGACACCAAGCGGCTAGATTTTTCAAGTATTCAAAGCGAGCCCAAGAGGCAATCCGCACTTGAACACGTACATTTCAACTCGTACAGGTCTTATCCTACTATGCGACCCATAAGTGAAGAATCGGCTGGTAAAAAAGGACCCGTGCCAAATAAAGCAGGCGCCTCAGCGTTGCAAAA